GATGACATAGGGTGAGATGTCTGGATGGCATCACCGACTCGATGGACATGAGTTTGAGTAGGCTCCAGGAGCTGGTGATGGACAGGGAGGCCTGGTGTGCTGCGATTCATGGGGTCACAAAGAGTTGGACACGACTGAATGAACTGAACTGAACTGAAGAAACCATTGCCTAATACAACAGCTTGAAGATTTATGCCATTTTTCATCTAAACATTTTATATTTTTAGCTATACATTTAGGTCTTTGATCCATTTTAATTTTTGTATATAGTGTAAGGTATGGTTTCCACTTTATTTATTTATTGGTACGTGGATAAACAGTTGTTTCTGTACCATTTGTTTTGAAAAGACTGTTCTTTCCCATGGAATTGCCTTGGCAGCCTTATTAAAAATCGACTGATGACAAATGTGAGAGTGTATTTCTATTAACTTTTGTGAGAGTGTATTTCTAGTGTATGTGTGGTCTTATATTTATTTTAATTTTTTATTGAAGTACAGTTGATTTATAATGTTGTGTGTATGTGTGGTCTTAAAGTCTGTTTTGTCTGATGGTTGCTGTTTGCATGATACATAGTTTACCACTCTATTTTTCCCAACCTACCTGTATCTGTGGCATAACAAATTACAAGTTCAGCGTCTTAAAGCAACACACATTTATTATTTCAGAGTTTCTATCAGTCAGGAATTTGGCATAGCTTAAATGGATTCTTTGCTCAGAGTCTCACAAGGTTGTGATCAAAGTATTGGATTGGCTCTATTCTCACCTGGAACTTGGAGTCCTCTTCCAAGCTCACTCATATTGTTGGCATAATTTAGTTGCTTTAGTTCTAAGATTGAGACCATCAGCTCTTAGAGATTACCTCTCTCCATAGGCAGTTTACAACACAGCTGTTTCCTCAAGAGTGTCTCAGCTGACTCAGGTCTCTCTAATTAGAGAAGAGATGGCTTCATTTTCAAGAAAAGTGATGATGTCACTAGATTATGCAGACCCACCCAGGATAATCTCTCTTTTGATTAACTCAGTGTGAATTTATTAAGGACTTTAATTACACCTGCAACATCCCCTCCCTTTTGCCATATTCTAGTGGTTAGAATGGGGCTTCCCTGGTGGCTTAGATGGTAAAGAATCCACCTGCAATGCAGGAGACCTGGGTTTGATCCCTGGTTTGGAAAAATCCCCTGGAGGAGGGAAAGGCTACCCACTCCAGTATTCTTGTCCGGAGAATCCCAGGACAGAGGAGCCTGGTGGGCTACAGTCTATATAGGGTTGCAAAGAGTCAAGACACGACGGAATAATTTTCACACACACGCACACAGTGGTTAGAAGTAACTTACAAAATCTGCTCCCACTGAAGGAGCGGGGATCACACACATATGTAGATAGTAGGGCTGCAAGAATTATAAGGGCCATGTTACAATTATGACTTTGATAGATGGGAACATGGGAAGGAGCACAAATTCTCTATGTAGGTTCCTTTTATCCATTTTGATTTTTGAAGTATGTGAATTTATTATCACTTACTCAAAAATAAAATTTTAGGAGACTTCTCTGGTGGTCCAGTGGTTAAGGATCTGCTTTGCAATGAAGGGGATGCAGGTTCAATCCCTTGTTGGGGAACTAAGATCCCACAAGCCGAGGAGCAACTAAACCCAAGCACCTGAATTACTGAGCCCACCTGCCTCAACTAGAGAGGCCATGTGCCACAACAAAGCATTTTGTGTGACACAACGAAGATCCCATGTAAAAAAGTAAATATTTTAAAAAAGTTTTGTATCTTTGCATATGTGTCTTTGGACCTGCTTATCTCTTATTAAAAGACCACTTCATGTAACTGTTCTTACTGTAAAATCATTACATCATTCTGAGGTTTTGGTTAAGAACATGGACTCTGGAGGCAGGCTGTGGATTTTGGGTAAGATACTTTATCTCTTTGAGCCTTTCCTGTAACATAAGGCTAATTATAGCACATAGGATGTTGTGAGAACTGGGTTAACATACTAGTATCACTCAGATACTGCTGCTTGATAACACAACATCTTAGTCACAATAACAAGCATTTATTTCTCCAAGCATCAGGCTTGCAATTTGCCAGATGTGCTTGGCTGGGCTGATTACTTAACTTCCCCCCGCTTGAGTTTCTTTGCAAAAAAAGATTGGTGTGTCACTCTGGGATTCCCAAAAGGCAGGACCCAAGACAAAGGCTTTTGTGCTACTATTTTGTCACGGAGTCCATCTCCCAGGAATGGGGAGCACAGGATAGAGGGATTGAGGCTTAAAGTGGGAGAGCCATATTTAGAATGTGTTGTTGATCTTGCTGTAGCTTAGTATCCCTGAGAAGTTGTACAAAGGATCTAAAAACAATCCATTAGGGAAGAGAGAGGAGAGCATTTACCCACCAGCTTGAACTGCTAACTCCTGAGCATTTGGAGGTGACCCCCGGGGACATGAGGTGTGGTACCGACAAGCTGCACTGCAGGAAGCAGCTGAAGTCCACGCCTAACAGCAGCAGGCCCTAATCTTCACCATTCGGGTGTGGGGTTTCGGGAAAGCATGCCTGGCACATTTCCAGCAGTCAATAAATAAATGGTCCTGGTTATTAGGAATATATACTTTGGTCCCCAAATAGAATTTATTCCTCTCTTCCTTCCTTCCTTCCTTTCTTTTTTCTTTCCTTCCTTTCCTCCCTTTTTCTTTGTATAGAGACAAGGTGATTTGGAAGTCTACTTTGTAGAAAATAAGGAAAAAAAAGCTAGGAAAACTCTGTAAAAAAAAAAAAGCAATGAAGTTAGATAAAGTCTGAGTAATTTCAAAAGTATGATATGAATAGAATGAATAGAATAATATGAATGTTGCATGAATAGACAATGAGCATATATTTTTGTGGACAAAATACATGTAGCTATCCATTGTATTTTTTATAGTATTGTTTGCAATAGCAAAGGACTGCAAACAGCCTAAATGTCCATCAATAGGGGTGTGACAAAAAAAATTATGGTATGTTTATACAATAGAATATGAAGCAACTGAAAGAAATCACAAACAAGCTCTTAAGTACTGATATATTTGTGTGTATATGCACAAGAATTTTAGTACCTGTGTGTGTGCAAGTTGCTCAGTTGTTTCCGACTCTTTGAGATCCCACAGTCTGTAGTTTACCAGGATCCTCTGTCCATGGAATTCTCCAGTAAGAATATTGGAGTGGGCTGCCATTCCCTTCTCCAGGGGATCTTCCCGACCAAGGAATCAAACCTGGATCTCCTGCAGTGCAGGCAGATTCTTTACCATCTGAGCCACCAGGGAAGCTCTTAGTACCTACACTACATAACAAATTATTCCAAACTTAGTAGCGAAAACAACAAATATTTATTATTTCACTGTTTTTGGAGCCATTCAGGAATGGCTTAGCCTGGTGGTAGAGGTTCAGAATCATTAATGAGTTTGCAGTTAACACACTGGTCTTCCGGGATGGCTCAGTGGTGAAGAATCTCCCTGTAATGCAGGAGCTACAGGAGACTTGGGTAGGAAAGACACCCTGGAGAAGGGAATGGCAACCCACTCCAGTATGCTTGTCTGGAGAATCCTGCGGACAGAGGAGCCTGGCAGGCCACAGTCCACAGTGTCACAAAGAGTCAGACACGAGTGAAGGGATTTAGCACACATCCAGGGGATTCACTTCCAAGATGACTCACTCACACGGCTGTTCCTTCGCAACTAGGCCTCTTCGTAAGGCTGCTTGCATGTCTTCATGGCAGGCGGCTGGCCTCCCTCAGATCTCAGAGAGAGGGAAGGAGAACAAGGGAGAAGCTGCAAACACTATTGTCCTAATCTAAGAAGTCATGCATAGTCCTGCCAGCCACATTCCATTTCTTTGAAGAGAGTCACTAAGTCTGGCCCACACTCAAGGGGAGGGGAATTAGGTTTCCCCTAATCTGCTAAGGTATTTGAAAATCACTAAGGGAAGAGAGGAACAACTGGGTGCACAGGGTCAGGGCTAGAAGGACGATTTTCACTGTATCTATCTTTATACTCTTTAAACTGTGTATTTGACTATATTTCTTTTAAAAAGGAACATTTTAAACTATTTGCGAAAGAACTGGGAGGGGGAGAAAAAGAGGGGGAAAAAAAAGAATTGAACAGGATGCCAATGAAAGAAATTAGTTGAAGTGAAATTGACCTTTGCCCAAAAAGATAGGAAATAGGAAGGGAACATTGTGCTCATCCTGCCCTCTTCTCCCCACCCTAGATTTAGGTTCCCACTTTCCGCGGCAGGGGGTGGTGGTGGTGGTGAAGGCAAAGCATGAGTTCTGGATAATGGGTTTGTGGAAGGAAAAGAACTCTGTAGCCAAAATGTTCCATGCTACGGTTTTACCGTGGGCGAATATCTCTTATTACAGTTTCAGTCCAGTTACATTCCTCCTACCTAAATCATTCTGAAGCCACAGCCTGTGGTCACTCCTGACTTTAAATAATATCGGATGGCATACGATGCCATTTCTGGGTAATGTTTTATGTGTTAAGTTCCACTCGTCTGGCCTTCCAACGCCCTCCCCTCAGATTTGACATCTATGCTTTAACAGAACGTGCAGTCAAGCACGCCAAGAGGATTTAACCTAGTAATTAAATTGAAAGATTTAATGTGTAGAAAGACGTGGCGTAAAACCCAACAGGTTTATTGTCTCTATAAAAAGCTCGTTAAGGTCGACTGTACTGACCTGTGCAGTGCTAACTGTACTCACTGCGCCCGGGTTGGCAGGAGGGACAAAGTTTTACAAACCAAACTATTCAATTTGTTCTATCGTCTCTCTTCATACCGTAATACACCCAGAAAAACTAAAAGTCCGCTTTCAGGGTATTTAAACGCAGTTGCTCCTTCTGAAGGGTCTGGGAATGTGGGCAGAGAGAGCGTTCTCTCCACGCCCCATCGGCGGTGAGCAAAGTCCTTCCAGTGTCTCACCGGGACACCGGACTCCAAGCCCGGCCCCCGCAGCCCGGGCCGAGGCCTACTCCGAGGACAGTGGTGTCTGAGGTGCTGTGGGCGCAGCTCCAGACGGATCAGGGTTCGCCTTCGCGAGGCCAAGGCTGCCCCGATTCGTTGAGGCCTTTCCAATGTCTACTTTCAGCCCCGGCTCCTTAGGGGACACAGGGGAAGGCGGGTGGAGGAAGGACACGTCACGGGAGGGGGGCGCGGGCGATGAAGGGACTCCAAGGAAACGGCAAAGGCCGGGGGAGTCCCAGGGGCCCGGGAGGGTGCTCCTTCACCGCAGGCCCTGGCCCCCGCCCACTCCCCGGCCCCCGGGTCCCTGCCCGCCGCTTCCGGCGCCCTCCGGGCCCGCCCCGCGCAGGCCGTGCCACATCCTCCAGTGACGTCAGCCGGCGCCGCCATATTGGAAAGGCGCCGCCGCCGCCGCTTCTTCCTCAGCCGCTTCCTCTTCTACCGCCTCCGTCTTGCTCCGGCTGCCTCACGTCCGCGGCCACAAAAAAGATAAGAGTCCCTCGTCCGCCCCACCGACGCCGGGTCCATCCGCTCCCCCTCGGCCCGTCTCCTCATGACTGCACCCGGCCCCGCTGCCGACGGACCTCTCCCCAGTGCCCGGTCTTAACACGGAAGCGCGGGTCGGGGGCCGCGGAGGGAGGAAGAGGGAGACCCCGCAGGTCCTGCGTCCCTCTCGGCCCGGCGCGGCGGAGCCATGACCTCGCTGACCCAGCGCAGCTCCGGGCTGGTGCAGCGGCGTACGGAGGCCTCCCGCAACGCCGCCGACAAGGAGCGGGCGGCGGGCGGCGGCGGCGGCAACGATGAGGACGACGCGCAGAGCCGTCGCGACGAGCAGGACGACGACGACAAGGGCGACTCCAAGGAAACGCGGCTGACCCTGATGGAGGAAGTGCTCCTGCTGGGCCTCAAGGACCGCGAGGTGCGGGCGCGGCGGGCAGGGCGGGGGCGGCCGGTGCAGGGCCCGGGCGCCGAGCGGCAGCCCGGCTACTGGCTCCGCGCGTCTGCTCTCCGAGCTCCGCGCGCGGGAGCGCCCTGCTCACCCTCCAGCACTGAGTGCTTGGATTTCCCTTTCTGGTTTCTCAATCACTCCTTTCATTTTGACTCCGCGGCGGTCTATTGCGTCCTCACTTTTTTTTTTTTTTTTTCCCGCGTGTTTAACCCGGGTAAACCTCAGGGTACAATTCCCATGGAGTGCAGGTTAGCGTGAAACACCTGGAACCACCAGCGCCCTGAACCCATAGGTTCTGCAGGTTTTAGGACCTAGGAGAGGGGTCCACTGATCTGCTTTCTGGGGACTAACAAAAAAGAACAACTTAAGGTGTGTTGTTTGGAAATTTTGAAAAATTTCCTTGAAATGGTAATGGAAGCAAAAGTTTTATTTTTCCTGTTGAAGTCCAACAAAATTCTCATGAAACCTGCAAATTGACTTTCTAGGTAAACATGCTTTGGGTGAGAGATTATTTTTATAATTTTATCATTTCGTCAGTTTTTTTGTTCTCAAAGTCTTACAGTCTCAATGAAGGAGGGACTTTTTCGTGGGGGTGCTTGAAATGGTAGGTTTGTGACTTGATGAAAGGCCTCAGCGTTTCGATAGATACGTGTGTTCTCACTTTGAAACAATTATTTTCACGCTTATACCTTGTGAGAATATTCACACATAGAGGAGTTGGGAAAAATGCTACGGTGGACACCTGTATACTCACCTAGGTTCTATAATTAACATTTTGCTGTATTTGCTTTATCATGTGTCTATCTGCAAAGTTGATTATTTTTAGAGACCTGCGGAGGGTCAGACAGATGAATGGATATTGTATAAATCATATATGGTGAGGGGTCCCAGAAGCTTGTTATATCTCTCTGTGGAAACTACAGACAGCACATTTGAGAGTCAGATACGAAAATATCTAAGTTTTTTTGTTTTTCAATAGTTTTCCCAATTCACAGAGATGGGCAAAAAAACTTCATGTTAAGACAACTTCGTCATCTTTCTCCAAAAGTTATCAGATATAGGTGAGTTTTATATGGATTGTTTGTGGACTCCTGATATTTAGTAATCTAATGAGTTAAAGTTTACCTTGATGGCAATGTCTGGAGTATTTGTGTTATCTAGGTTTCCAGTTTGCTCAGGTCTTTTCTTTCTCTTTTTTTTTTGCTCAGTTTTTTCTGATGATCACTTGATGTTCCTTTGGCCACGAAAGGGACCCAATATCTCTCTTAGTTCCTGAGTTATGCAACCAGGCTGTATATGAAATTTCTTTTTTCTCTTTGGAAAAACAAACTAGAGGTATAATGTCCTAGACATGTGATTTTGGAAAGTATTCTTATAAAAGATTCTTTTAGCTTCAAAGTTTAGAATCTTGATAATAAACGTTTTTATCTTTTTCCTCTGGGACAAAAGTAACATTGTAAAAAATACTAAAAAAAAAACGAAATGAAGAAAACAAGTCTCATCCATATTCCTGATATCTGGAATATCTGGTTTATAAGTTTTGAGACTTGTCTATGTGGATATATTCTTTGTGTAAAACTAAAACTTAAAAGCTAAACCAAAACTAGCTTTTGGACTTCTGAGTCACTGTAAATGAGAAATTAAGAGTGAGAAAGTACCTTTTTGTTTTTTTAAGTATGTGTTACTCTGAATGTGGCAGCCCACTTCAGTATTCTTGCCTGGGGAATTCCATGGACAGAGAAGCCTGGCGGGTTACAGTCCATGAGGTCCTAGGAGTCCGAAACTACTGAGCGATGTTTAAGCTGAAGCATATTAACATGCTGTTTTCCCTTGATTGGTTTTCATGAAGGTAATCTAAAGAATTTATTTGTTGCAACTTAATAGTGCTTACAAAATCTAGAAAATTTGAAGTTCTTTGGTGGCAGGTAATTGAGGCCATCTGTTGTGTTTGTGTCAGGAGTCACTATACTCTGCCATGTCATGGCCAAGGGCCAGACGCTAATTCTGATCATTTCAGCAACCACAGAGGGAAGGAAACTTTTTTCCCTTTAGCAGGCAAGTTCATGGAATTGTGGTGGTGGGTGGGTTTCAGACTTTGCATTGCTTTATAAAGAGTTAGGTTTAGGGATTAATCTATGTTTCCCCGGTCTTCACATCTTTACATATAACTAGCCCTGGCAACTCATGCATTTGTATCTTTGTCCTTAAGACATCCCACCCTCCCTCCCACTCCCCCCTTCCTCCTGCTCCTGTCTTCTACTTGTATACTTTTTTTTAGGGGACAGTAATTACTCTCATGTAGGTTCTAGGCATTTATGCTTATTAATACTAGGTTTTAACTTATTAAATTTAATAATAGCAAATTCTAAATTTTAGCTGTAATATAGAGCTCACTTCTTTAACTTTATTATTATTTTTTTAACTTTATTGTTTTAACTTAATATCCATCTTTGTCATAGCTGGGTACTTTTAAGATACTCAAAAGCTAGATTCAGAGGTTATGTTTGTCATTAATAATGGATACACTTTATATATTTGTGAGCTAACCTTAGATAGATAATAGTTGCTCAGTCCTTTCTGACTCTTTGTGACCCCATGGACTGTAACCTCTGTCCAGGGATTCTCCTGGCAAAAATACTGGAGTGAGCAGCCATTCTCTTCTCCAGGGGATCTTCCCAACCCAGTAATCAAACCTGGGTCTTCCGCATTGCAGGCAGATTCTTTGCCATCTGAGGTACCGGGAAAGCCCTAGAGCTAACCTTATTTGAAATCAAAACAAGGAAAATTTTAAAGAAATTGTGAGAGGTGAAATTAGTTCGATTTTAATTTTTTTTAATAATGCTGAGACTAACAGCTTGTGAAAAATACTTTATGTTGAATAATAAACCTACAGAAAAGTGCACGTGAGTGTGAAGAATTTTCACAAACTGAACACACCTGTTGAACCAACACCTTCATCAAGAAACAGAACCTGAGCAGCTCTCCAGAAGTCCCACTTGATTTCCTTTCCAGTCACTGCCTGGTCCTCAAGAGCCACTACTTGTTTGACTTGAGAATTCAGCATAGAGTTTCCCCCTTTTTTGTACTTTCATTTATATCTTTTGTAAAGCAAGTTTGTGACTTGCTTCTTTGAGGTTGTCATTTGTTCATTCTCATTTTATTATCAGCTTAACTTTTAGCACATTTACAATCTGCAATATTTTAAAAAATTGTTTAACTCATATCTTGAATCTAGTATTCTCCTCCTCGCCTGTTTACTGAACAGAAGGCTCAGCTTGCCTGCCAGTGAGCAGATGGTCTGGCTTCAGATTACCTATTAGGGATAACTATAAAGTTATCGTGAATTTCATTTCAGATTTTTTTTACCAATGATTTTCCTTTCTGTCTTATTAAAACACAGATGCCTTGGCCCCTCCAGGGCTTTGATGCTCAGTATAGGCAGAGGACATAGGTATTGAAGTAAATAAAGAGAAGCCCACAACAAGATGGCAGATAGGTTTATTTTTTATTTTTTTTTGGCAGATAGGTTTAAACTTGAATTCAACTTCCAAATAATTAGCAAGATTTCTGCAATCTCTCCTGTGTTTAAGAGGAAGAGACAGCAAACAAGCTAGGTGTGTCCCCCCTCCCAACTATTTGATTTTTCCGTAGAGGCCTCCTATAGTCATTGTTTTCTGAATGCCTCTTTGAGAATTAAGTGAAATAACTGGTGTCATGTACTTTTAAATATCTTCATTCGTGGAACATCTTAGTGCTTTAAAGTTGGATTTGTTTATATTAAATGACCAGGTATAATTTAGAGTGGAATGTGGAATAGCAGAGTGGAAGGATGTGGTGTAGTCTTTTTTTTTTGTCGTGCAGTCTTGATCTGAGGTATATCCTTTGCTTTCCATGTTATTCAAATGCTCTGAGCCTCAGCGCTCTCTAAAATGGAGACATAGACCTCTCCTGTAATTTTGATGACTGTTGTGGACATTTCTTGTTTTACCCTTCACTTTGTCTCTTAAGGTTTTATTTTGCCTGTAGGGTGTTCCCCATTGTATACAACCCTGGGATGCCCTATTGAAGCATTCACCCCTTCCCTTTTGTAGTGTAGTCAGACCTAGACTTGTCCAACCAGATGTTTTCTCCTTGGACTTTGGCTCTTGAGAGCAGAAAAAGAGGCTGTGGGGATTTGGGGGGACCTGTCAGTGGAGCGTCAGTGTGTGGGTAAGATTGTTTTCTGACTTGGTTGTTTCAGATTCCTTCTCCCTAGCCCTGTGGCGCTTGTCTTTTCCATCCTGATTTCCCAGGCATCTTTCAATTTTGTAAGCTTTAAGAACCTTTTTAAGTCTCCCCCCCCCTTTTTTAAGTCCCTTTTTAAGAACCTTTTAAAGTCCCTTTTTAGAGATTGCCAGAGTCAGTTTATGATGTTTTGAATGCTTGCAGGTAAGAACCTTAATGTGCTAATTTAACGCTATATCTTGAAAAATAAGTAGATGCTTGAGCTGGATAATACACACTTAGAATAAAATAGTTAAGTTTAACTAAAATGATAGAACTGACTTTTGTGTGACTTTTAAATTAGCTCTAAAGAGTGATCCAAAAGTGTTCTATTTTTGTAATTTCCCAAGGTTTCTACTTTGAAGTACAGTACTTATTAAGATGGATAACTTTTTAAAAATAATTCTCCTTCTGGTACATGCAGTAATACACATTACCTGCATATCAAATCTGTTAGTGAGAAATTCATTCAATACTCAGTATTTAAAGATGTGTTAAGATTTTAGTAATTTAAAGCATAATAAAGACTTCCAGGTTTTAGAATTTTGTTATTCCTTTAATAAAAATAATGTGCTGTTCATATTTTTGAATGATTTGAGTGATCATTTATTTTTTCAGGTGCATTTAAGAGTACACACGTATGAAATATTAGTTATAAAATTAGTTTTTGGAGTTCATTGAATCACTCGATTGTATCTTTTACATAA